GAGCGCGGAGACGAGGGCACACTTATAGGGACCACGGATCTGGGCTGCGATTTGCCGAGGTCGCGGTGAGAGCCCGCAAATTGGGATCTACGGGGACATGGGCGGCATCTTGGCCCGCCGGCTCTGCGCAACGCCGACACGGCGCTCGTTTGGGTCAGATTCCCAGGACAGATCTGACTCGGACACGCGGACACGCGGACAGGTCCGGCCTCGTGCCCTACCCCCGCCGTCTCCCCTCCCCTCGTCCGGCTGTGCTGCCAGCATCCACGGCCGTAGGGGCCAGCTCTGGAGCTCTGGCTGCTAGCAACACCGCGATTGCATTCATGGCGGCAGGCGACAAGGCGACTCCGAGTCCCAGCAGCCATTGGGGCCGAACAACCCGTCGCTGCGTGGGTTGCCTCGGCAGATGGCCACGAGTGACGACCGCCCATTTCAGGGGCCTCTCAGAAGCTCGCTGTTGCCCGCCCAATCAATGTTGGCTCCCTCGTGCACGGCCTTGCGCGCTTTGAGGCACAAACCATTGATCCCGCGACGCATGGCTCCTCTGACCAAAGATCATACACTGAGCCGAATACGTTGCCCACCCGTGTCCCCCACTCATTAGGCCGCATGCGGCTGGCTCAAAGAGTGCATTCTTACTGCCCGGGGACAGGCATGAAACAGGAGCTTATCTGGCCTCGCGGTGATCACTACCATTTGATGGTGGGTGCGTGCCCTGACAACACTGAATTTATAGGCCCGTACCCAGCCATTCTGACTTTTGAACTTCGCTGCGAAAGCAGCTCGTTCGTCAGAACGGCTGGGCTAACTTTCCAGGGTTTGGTCGTCGAGCCGTGAGAAAAAGGACTTGGAGAAATCGAGGGAGTGCTCTGCTCGACGAACGCGCTACGACGGTCATTCATTCATCGTTCTTGGGGTATCAGTATAAATTCCAATGCATTATCTACCACACTGTCCCAGCCTGTTTGCATCATGCCCTGTGATGTTGAAATCTCAGTGGAGAAATGTAAGTACTTTTGTTTGGATATCCATTGATTTGCGCGCTGACACCGGCAGCCATGTAAACTCTGAGTGGTCATGTGCTGACGAGAGATCTTCCAGGTCAACATGAGTGCGGGTAGGGTTATGTGACGGTGTGTATGCATGCTGGGGATGCATTGCAAATGGTGGAGGAATACGCTGTGGTACGGTTCCCATAGCATTCAGCTCAGCAGGAAAGGTGGGCGAGTAAGATGTACTGGATGGATGCTGATGGATATTGACAGACAAGCCATGCATCGAGTTGGTATGCAGCATCAATGGAGGGCCCAGTGCTATATTTGCATGCGACGCGAATGAAGGGCTAGGTGCGGCACTACCAGTATGTAAATCAAGTAGAAGCCTATGTGATGGCTGGCCAGTCTCGGAATACCGCGCAGTGACATCGTACTACAAAATTGGCTAGTGAATTCTACCGGAAAGCCAAATGCATTCGTTGAAGTAGACTTTATGCGAGAGCATCTCAATTATTGGACAAAGGTACTGCCATACACCAATAATCATAGTATATGCCCCTGCTGAATGTCTGATCTGCCTGGCACCAGCTCATCTACGGTGTGCATGGGAGTAACGCTTCATGGCTCAGTATGGTCATGCCTTGCATCGATATCCTGCGCCAACTCACAACACACATTAACGAAGAGCTTGGCATGCACCAAAAATTAAAGCACACAACACCAAACTTGGACCATGATATCTGAGAGCTTATGCACTCACTACACAAACGTAACTGTCACAGAATTTCATGGCATCTATCTTATCTCCAGTGTCTAGATGATCTATATCTTATCCGATTAGATATCTACCTAGATAAGAATACATAATGCAAGGTGACATGGTTACTAGTTCAGGTGTCTAGCCTTGTCCAAAGCAGGTCAAATGTGCTAATCATACGTTCACACGAGATTTCCCCATTTATACCAGAGACACACACGGTCGTTTAGGTGATCATCACATAGCAGACTGCTGACCGAGCACATGGTGATGGCTCACACGCTAGGTATTCTTA